TCTAATGACTGGTGTTCTTGCAGAGATGATGCATAGATCTACTTGTATAGAATGTGAATTGCTTACGCCAGCATGATAACGGATTTCAGTGGTACAGGCAATGGTTAATGTCACTCTTTGGCAATGTTGTGATTCTTAAATCCCACATAAAATCCATTTAGCAAGTTTCAGTGAGACTTTAGCAGTGTGTGAGATCTGCCAAGAGTTTTTGTGCTGGAGGAGTACGGGTTGACAGGATCAGCCCTAACACTTTAAGTGCTCTTTATGATATTATTATTGCTTTGTGGATTCATTTCCCATAGAGACAGACTGAAGTGTTCAAACTTCCCYCTCTGCTCTGGGGTGTCAGCTCCATGGCTTAGTTTTGCGCCGATGTCATTCTAGTTATTAAGAGCAAACTCATTATTGTCATTAKAGACTATAAACTGTATGAAGAATGCAATTGATTTTAATGAAAAGTCTAGGAAGATAGTATCTTTAAGAATATAAGGAACATAATCACCCTTCAGAGGTAAGATATGTTATTTACACTATGGGGATTCATGTCAGTGCATTTTAAGTAAGTTGCTTGGCTGAACTTGTTATCTAGCTGCCAGGAACGGAAGTGAGAGAGAAGAACCAGAGAGAATTATTGTACTCTACACTCCACTTACATCATGTAAACATTTATAACATGACTTATTTTCAGCATTGACCATTCCAGTGGGGCCTCTTTGTTGCAGTATTGCTGGCAGACTGCTTTTGAAGGCACCTTTTGGCTTGTTTGTAATAATGCATCAAGGCAACAGACCTGGATCTACATGGTATTTGCAACATGTACAATGAAAACTCCAAGTCATCCCTTTCTCTCTCCAGGTTCSCAGCCATAGCCATCTGCTGGGGTTTAAGCACTTTCTTATGCCCCTGCTGTTACAGCTCACTTGTGGTGATCAGTGGTCGCACCCTGCTTTCTCAGGTGAATCCTATGTAATAGGATTCATAGGTGAATCCTATGTAATAATCATGCATGAGAGAGAGAGAAAGAGGCTGGCATTTTCATTTCTCCTTATTCTCCCAGTTATAAAAAMGAATATAAATTTGAAATATGTTATTTTTCATTGAAGAATGGTACCAGGTAACAGTTTGCAGTATACCTGGCAATGTTAATCTTGCTGCAGGAAACAGTCTTCTATTGCGGTCCAACCTTCCTGCTGGTATCAGCAGTGTTTCTCTCTTTCATAGTATCAAGTTATGTTCTTCCCAGATCACTTCAGTTCATGTTAAGAATGAAATGCGTAACTCAGACAAGTTACCTGCTTCTTTGAGGTGAATCTTGTCTGTAAAACAACACAGAGCAGAACAGCGAGGAAGAGGAGAATAATTCAGCTTTTTTCCTTCATGCAGATTTCAGATTTCTGATGTATCTGACATCATATACAGATACATGTAGTATCTGTATACTACATGTATGTGACCCAATGTAATTATGTGGGTAAACTCTCTAMGTTTTTTGTAGCATTTTATTGCAGTTCATCAGTTTGTACTATTTAGGCTGTAACCACAGCTTAGTTTATACAGGAATTTTGTTTGTTGTTGTTGTTTTCAGAGCTCCTTAATGCTTCTCATTGACCCTTTTATAAGCTATAACTTTTGCTAACACTCCATAAGTCAGGGAGTCTTTAGTAAAAGAACCAATCAAGAAAAAAAATGTGGGATGCTTTCCAGGGAAATGCATGTATAGTAGAGAATTCTGGCAGTTTTTCATCTGGCAGTGATTTATTATTTTGAGCTGGCTTGCTCTTTAGGCAATAATAAAAAGTATTTTACATGTAAYAAAGCACTTTTAATATCCCTGACCTTGACAATGGGTATATAATACAGGTTTAAAAGAAAAAATTGTAACCAGAAATGCAATGTGTCACAAACTGATGCAATCATGGTTCCTCGTTAGGTTTCAGAGTTTCTGGTGAAATGAAAGATGCGTGGAAGAATAGATTGTTTTAATAGAGACATCTTGTATCTCCAGCTATGCAATATATGCTAAGTTTTGGAGAGTACAGTCTTTATGTTTAGTCTAAAAGAATTTAAATTACATAGTCATGGAAGAAGACATTGAATTCAATGTATTCAGCAGCATTTTGCTGAAGTCAGGAGGCTGCTGTTTGTGTATCCTTAAGAATTCAAAGAAATACCGTGTCAACACACTCCAATTTGTTTAGATGGAAGTGTCATTCATTTATAAGTTCCTTACTGTCTCAAATTGAAAATGATTGCTCTTACTTTTATTAAAAATCACGTGTGAACTCTCAAAAGAGAACAGTGTCAAAAGGTTCTCTCTGCTCCTGGGACATGCTGTCTTTCTCTTTTAAGACAAGTGGTAGSTAGGGAGTTGCTTCTCAGGTCCCTTTATAGGAGAAATAATGAGAAGTTGAAATATACGTTGATTAAAAAGCAGCAGAAGGCTGCTTGCTTCATGATCCCAACAACAATTTGACACTTCAACTCATTCTTAGCAGTAAGTGTACCCCTTGAATGRCTCAGATGTATTGAAACATGATGCTGGTCATTAGGCAAAGGTTTTTCATCTTTGTCCAGTTTACATCATCTTCCTTTTATAGTTTTAGACCAATTAGAGTAAATGCAACACAGGTAGATTTTTTGCATAATTTATAAGCAGTTGCTACAAATGTATAGACACACATACAGAGTCATACACAAAGTCTGTCAGTTTATGTTGCTGTTGGTATTGTCTTAATCACTTTATTAACAGAAGAAWGCTGTAAGTCCTAGCTTGTTATGATCATTGAAGATATAAAGAAATTACTTCTTATTTGTGTAATACTATTGGTAAACCTGCTCTCAGGTATGCTAACCCATTGTTTTTCTTAATAGACTGGAACTGACTTCAAGGCTCATTGAAATTAAGCTTATTAGTTGTACTCATTATTGTTAGTGTTATTACACAGACACCTTTCAATGACAGCTCGTGTACTTAGTTCACTCTCACACCCTTTTCCTGCCTTTTTATTCCTTCATTCCTTTCTTCACCCTTTGAGGTGAAGCTTGGTTCTGCTTTCCTTCCTTTTAATTTCAAATGTTAGGTTTACTAGTTCTCATTCTGTCCTGCACTGCTAGTATTTTTCTAGGGCATGAAGATGGGCAGTGGTTCCCAGAAGAAATGGTGAATGTTTAAATGCAGAATAGTAGGTAGCCATTTCTATGTTGTTAATATGATTAGATTAGTTTGGTATTGCTTCTCCTTCGTGTTTCCTTCCAACAAACTAAATGTTTGCATGTTTATTTAAAATTTGTTTGCAAAGATGTTTTTAATTAAAAACATGAATGACATACGGTATCCTTCCTTCATTATTCTAGAGGTTAAATAGAGCTTTCTAACAGTGTAAGTTTAAGGTTTTCTGGGTACATTATTATGAGATTTTAAGAAGACAAAGAAAAAAGAAGTTGCGACGGTAAAAGATGGTAAAAGCTATCCATGTATTAACCATTTTCTGCTTAACTTGTAAAACTAGCTAGCTTTTTCAAACTCTGATCATAGGGACACAAAGGTTTTGCTTCAGCAGCTCTGTGGTCAGGATGTGTGCAAGGTATGAGCACATTCAAATAATATAAAGAGCAATCGATTATGATTTTTAAAAGGGGATGCTTGAYAGATCCTGTGTATCTTACTCAAGCATGCACTCCTTTGAAGCCAGGAGATTGATTGAATCAGCAGAAAATGGTTGAATGTATACAAACTGTCATGTAAACTTACAGTGCTAAATAGAGGAATTAGAATAACTCTAAAATATGCAAACCTCCAGTCATGTTGGGCAGCCCGAGTCTGGTCATTACAGCAAAGAAATTAGCTTTCATCTCAGCTGTTGAGCTAAAGTTAGTCAAATGCTTGTAGTATGTGAATGCACAGAAAAAAAAAGAAAAAAGCAGCTTTTAAAAGAAACAGTTTAGCTAGAAAAGTGCCAGATGTTCAGACTAAAATGCCAATTATCCAATTTTCTTGTGAAAAGTTAATCTTCTCTTACATTTAAACCATGCTGTGCTATGTGAGGTTATACTGGAGTAAAACATGAAGGGGTGGAAAACGCCATATTGTCAGCAAAACAATGGAATAGCTTATATTTGAATGGAGAAACACATCTTCAGAATTGTGCCAGGAAGATTTGCACATTATGGTTCATTGGGAAAGTCGACCAGATTTCACAAGCTGTGCTGTTGAAGAACAAATTAACATTGACTGGGGGCAGTGCCGTAATATCTTTCCTCAAAGTACAGCCTCATATTAATTAATRTTTGTGAAGCACTTTGAGGTGCTGGATGAAAGGCAGCAGAGARTACAAAGTTGTTGCTATGATTAATTTTTTATCGTGTTGGATATGTGATGGCCTGTGTTAGAGTGTTGCAAATTATTATTTATTAATTGTTGCTTTTGCCAGTGGCCACCTTTGGTCCATCCTTTGCCAACTGTGTTATTGCCCTTTTAAATCACATTCTTTGGGCTGGAAGAGAATGCTTTGAYCTCTACGGCAAAGGGCAAGAGTTCATTGAGCAATACCTGCAGGAAACCACTATCTTCTGGTTAGGTGCTAAGATATCTGACCTTGGTGTAAACACTTCAATACCACATCCCAAACAACTTGGTTAATCACCTGCACTGTCAAAAATTCATGGCATGTATTTTGCATGTCTAAAATGTATGCTTTCTTTGCATCCTATTATGTGTTTTTTTTTTTTGTAGTGCCTACTGTAATGTAGTGCCTACAGTGAAAATATGGGAATCAAATTTTCCGATTTTTCAAGTGGATCCTCATGTAAATGCAACTGGTCATCAAGGACATCATAATCTACTTTGTGCATAGAGATTGCATCTCGTTGCTGAAAGGGAGTATATTCAATAAAATACAGCTCATTCCTGTAACCCTTGATTTCCACACTAGAAAACATCTTGATAACTCAGTTCAGCATGTTTTTTTAGCTTTTCAGGAAAATATATTATGATAAGAAAAGCCCTGAYCATGGTCCCTCTAGGTTTATAGCTTTTCTGTGAAGAGCTTTGTGAGAAACCAAATCCAGAGTGTGGCTTGRTGTTTTCAGGGCTATGTGGCAAATACTGCTATTTATGTTATCCAGTGTCATTGGAAGCTGAGAGTGGGTCTTAGCTTCTCTTTTTCTCTTGTTTTTGCATTTTGGATAATGAAAATAGAAAACCTGTATGCACTGTCTAAGATCATTACTACATGGGGGAAAAAACAAAGGGTCTGGAAAGGAGCTTTTGTTTCTATTTCATCTGCTTTCAGACAGAGAGTTCTGTAAATTGTCCCAAAGGAGCTCCGGTGCCTGCATGTTACTCCATTCCACTCCTACTCTGTTAGAGACCACTGTCTAATAGTGAGCTGCAAAATTGCTTGATACTTTTCCAAGCAGAAATCTGTTACAGTCCTGAAAATTCCTTRCCTAGTACATGATTTTCTATTATTTGGAGACAGCTTTAGTTCTTTCACTTTGCACAAATGACAGTTTCTAGCTCCCTGAGTGTTATGGTTGTTGAATTCCCGCCTTGCTCTGCATCTGAGCAGAGAGCTGTAGCAGAGTACCAGTATCCTGGTGAGGGTGGGTGGAGGGAGAAGTAACTTTATTGTTTTTGCGCAATGTTCCTTCTGGTTTCTCAACTTGATGATTGCTCAGTTTACAACAGCAGACCACTCTTCAGATCCCCCTTCACTCGTCAGGCTTTCTCTTCTGTGTCTAGCAGTCGTGTCACATGTCAACCATCTTACCCTTCTGGAGTTCATGACAATTGCAAAATAATAAAGATGCTGTGTAATAGTAAGTTTGTCTTTTGAACAACAGCTTCATTTTTTCATGTTGTTATCCAACAACAACCCAGAAATCCAAGAAAAAAATTCTCTTGTGGTAGTACCTAGCAGACTGTGGCAGCAACGGGTGTAAAAAAAAAAAATTACATAGCATTGTTTTTGTCTTAAGCAATACATTATTACTGTATTGGGTCATTTGACTTCTACATTTATTTAGGCTTAAAAAGAGCAACTTTAACGGTATTATTTTTATTAAAAGGGGGTCCATAAGAATGGCCATCTCATTGCCTTTGACTGGGCTTGTTGCTGACAATTGACTGAAAAGGTAACGTTTGCATTTTCTTCCTTTGATAAATTAGTATTACYGCTTTGCTTGGGAGATTGGAGTTTTTTACATGGCATTAATATTTCCTAACTGCTGAAAAAAACCCTTTTTTGATCCATTTTGGAAGTACTGTTGTCTCTTTAATTTTGTCACTGTGTCGTTACTCCATAATAATTCCATGGGCCAGGTCCTAATCTTTGTTGTTGCAAATGATGAACTCCTAGTTCATAATTAGGATGAACTCCTAATTTATTGCAGTTCTTTGATTATTAACCTGATACCATATGGCTGGGCCTCTTATGACTTCCAGGAATTTTAGAGTATCTATTCTGTGACTTGAAAAAACTAAAATGGAAAAATAGAATATACCAGCTCATAAAGAAGACTTGTCTGAGACATGAATACCATTTCACTTACTATGTTACATGTTTCTAGAAATGACCAGAATACATTTTGTTGTCTCACACATGCCAGGTAATAAATACAGTACACAGAATTTAAAAAAAAAATGGTTCTTTAGAAGTATTTTTTTTCTTGTTGTTTGCAAATTAACCATGGCCTCTTTTGAATACATTGATCTTCATAGTTGAAAACTACTTACTTRATCTATAAGTCTTGGACAAGCTGTGCCTTGTGTGTATAGATCAATAAGGAAGTTCCACACRGAATTCAGAATAATGGTAGAGAATATCATTAGGGAGACTACAAGAAGGAGGGGAGAAGTACAAAGATTTTTACTGGAGTCATGATCCCAGAGTATCTGGTAATTACCATGTCTA